GTGGTATCTGATGTAAGAAATACTCTTATCTCGTTGAAATCTTGACGGATTTACAAACGGTTTGGTTTCTTACAAACGTTATTAACGTGGCTATAATTCTGGATGATTATTTATTTATTTATACACTTATTATTCATAAGTATGCAGTATCATAATCACATCTCTGCCGTTTATAACAAACTAGACCGTTTGAAAATCGGTAGAAAATTGAGCAAGTTACGGTGGTTTAAAAAGTACATGCACCATTAAAACAATGTTACCAGTGAGCGAGCTGCCTGTGACAAGATGGCCGCCAGGTTCTGACGTCGACCTCCATTGGCCAGCAGCGCGAATGAGATATCTAGCCTTTATATAGATGGGTGAAGCTAGCTAACATTGGATTTGGATGTGCCTTTGGCATGCATCCTCCAAAGGCAGCATTTTTCAGATTTCGGACGAATTTTGTTTACCCTAAAACAGAAGTTTTCAATCCCGCTCCTGGGGAGCACTGAACTTGCTCCAACCATAGACTGTAAAATAAGATGGACGACGCCCCTTCGCTCTTTTCCATCAGAGAGAACTGAAGCCGCCAGTGTCTCAATATGACGCTGACATCTTGGGACTTGAGTCTGCGCACTTGCGTGTTTCGGGACCAGAGTCATGCGCAGTCGTGAGCAGGAAGTAAAGCCGCGAAATCAAGGCCGCGCCCTCATTCTCGCTGAATCAAACGCTTTCATTAAGTGTCCTCTGTCTGCTTCGTTCTTCTCCAATGATGTCTGCTGATTGCAGAACCTCGTTAAAATAAGGTAAATACAACTACTAACCACATAATCAACATTATTAAAAAAAAGTCCGCTGGTGCTTCAGTGACTACCTCCTCGCACAGAGAACCTGTCAATCACAGCTGTCAATCATGATGTCAGAGCGCCGTTATTTTATCATCACATAACTAACTAAAAACAAACTTATTTTAAAAACGAACACTTGAAATTACATCAACGTGATAGAAACTACAGTAAATGACAGAAACTATCTTTGGAAAAAGGATATGTGAAGTGTAATTTAATTGTTTAGTTGGTCTCGCGTCCCATTGAATAACATGGGGAGGCGGGGGTTATGAGCTATACTAGGTCCGGTCACAGAGGGGCGATCGAGACGTTTTGGCTTCACTTTTGAGGGCTTGTGCGGCACGCTTGGCTCCAACCCTTATCAAACACAACGTAACCGGCTAAGTTCTTCAGGGTCGCTTGAAAATCACAGTCAGCTGTGCTGAACCAGTTAGGAAATAAGCTTTGCTGGACAGCGAGTCCCCTGGAGCAGGATTAAAGACCTCTGGCCTAAAATGAGAATTGTGGCATAAAATACTCGCTCAAGATGTTTTCTTTTTTCTGTGTAATGCAATGGAGAATGGAGATGTAGTGATTTAAAAGGGAGAAGATTTTTACTTAATAGGAAATTTACTTACATTACATTCATCCGTGTTGCTATCTCACCCCAGATACCTTTTGTTATATTCTATGATAACATATCAACACTGACTTTTGTCATTTATGACAGAGAACAAAATATCCATGGGTACGCTACAAGTGACTGGATCTGTAATGGATTACTTGAAGGCCAACATACGCTTCAGTGACTGTTTGGAAAGGTTTGAACTGTTTCTATAATGCCCTTTGATATGGTCTCTGCTTTCATATTTGTGTCTGCAGATTGGGTCCACCATAGATATCTATATAAAGGCTAGATGTGTCACGGCGGAGTATTTATCGTCATGACCGGTGGCCATCTTGTCACAGACAGGCTTTCTGGCGGGCTCTGTAGTATCTGATGTAAGAAATACTCTTATCTCGTTGAAATCGGATTTACAAACGGTTTGGTTTCTTACAAACGTTATTAACGTGGCTATAATTCTGGATGATTATTTATTTATACACTTATTATTCATAAGTATGCAGTATCATAACTACATCTCTGCCGTTTATAACAAACCAGACCGTTTGAAAATCGGTAGAAAATTGAGCAAGTTACGGTGATTTAAAAAGTACATGCACCATCAAAACAATGTTACCAGTGAGCGAGCTGCCTGTGACAAGATGGCCGCCACGTGCTGACGTCGACCTCCATTGGGCAGCAGCGCGGACAACACATCTAGCCATACAGATCTATGGTGTCCACACCCAGCTGAGAGTAAGGGTACGTTTAATCGACAACGATCTACTAAGACAGAAATTTTTTTCCTTTTTTCTTTTTGCGTAGAGAAGACAACGTTGTTAAAACGATCCCCGTTTACACGGATCCGCAATAATGACTAAAACGCTGGATTATGCAGGTCAGGCCAAGTGTTGGCAATGTTACTTTTTAAAGAAACACTACCTTGCTATAAACTGAACATGTGATAATGATGAATGTGCATGACGTCATCGTTTTCACGTTTTTGTTGTTTACATGGGGACGATAACGGTATAGTTTTTCAAAAACTTGTTTTTTAAAGTCAAATCAAGTCATCCTCATTTATATAGTGCTTTTAACAATGTAGATTGTTTCAAAGCAGTTTTACAAGAGGTAAACATATAATTTAAAGGTACAATATGCAAGTTTTTTTTGTGCGCTGGTTTGTAATTCCCTAAAAACCATGCCTAAACAAACTACTTGCAAACTATGAATTTTGATACTGAATTTTATTTTATTTTATCACTTTGCGGTTGGTACGTGAACCGAAATTTCCTCATCGCTTTATCTGTAGAGTCAGTGGTATAGGCCAGGGATCCTCCATTGGGAGAGGCTAGTTGGCATTTCAGCGCTGCGTTGTCATCGGGTCCAGGCCCCCAAGACGCCGTTAGCGTGTAAATTAACGGCCAGAATGCAAAAAAGTTTTCCATTTTTAGTTGGAAAAAAGTGTTGTGTAAACGTTCCCTGAATATCTCTCACCTGTGTTCAAATACAACAAGTTCTTCAAATTGAACTGTGTTGTGTTTAGGTTCAATGTGTTGCAGACAGGAAGAGGACTAGAGGAAGTGGTTCCCAGCTCTAATCCTGCCTCTCAGTGCAGTCTTGGGACCTCAGAAGTCCTCTGGCTTTTAGATGGAGTTGAGAGCAGTGCCATCAGATCACCTTGGGAAGAGACTTTCAGTCCATGTACGCCAGATGCACGTTGCTTTACCAGTGATGGTAGGATTTAGAGTATATTTTGTTTATATTTTTGTGTCACTTCTGTATACTGCACCACTTTTATATCACTCATCTATATTTTTGGCTTTGATGTACCTAAAAAAGGGGTAGATGTGTACTAAAAATTCCCAGCACATCACATGGCTTGCTTTCAAAGGGATTTCAAAAGGATCTTTATACGTTTTTGGTCCTTAGAAGTCTTACAATGGAAGGATGATAATCCTTCTTAACTTGTTTCCGAAATCTCAGATCTCACTCTGCCAGAGGAGGTGATATTCGGGGATCATCTGCAGCGGTTCAAAAGCCACATGCCTCCATTTCAAACCATGCTTCAGAAGCTGAAGATCATGGCTGTCTCGGATCCTGTTCTCAATTCATCAGTAAATCTTTTGAAAGAGGTTGTTTTTAGGTACAACATACAAAATATTTCTTTCTCCCATAAAGAAATTTAAAAACAGCCCCAAAGAAAAGTCTGGGAACTTAAAAAAATCTATTATGCATTTGTATGCACTGAAATTATATTTCCTTCTCATAGACACTGTGACTCATACGATGCAGTTTTAGATGAAGTAACGGGCGCCACGTTTACCGGAGGAAATGTTACAGAGGAGTTCAAAAAAGAGGCAGTACTGAACGAAGAGGTGAACTACAAAACTGAATCATGTTAATGAAAAAAATCTTTATTGTTTGTGCTTTTTGCAGCTTTGGAAGAAGTTTTATGCCGCTTTTCCACTGCATAGTACGGTACGGTTCGGCTCAGTACACTTGGACTCGGCGCGGAACAGTTCGGATCGCTTTGCGTTTCCACTGCAGTAGTACCCCTTCAAAGTGTGTGGGGCTGATCGTTATTTGCGCGCGCCTCTACTGCCATGACATCATCTTAAAAGCACCACATTTTCAAACCCACAACACAGGAACAATGGAGACTATTGAGGGGATGGTGTTCCTGATTCTCGGTATGTGGTTGTTTTTAACTGCTAGACGGAAAAATGTGTTTAAAATGAGGCTGATGGCAGCAAAACAAAAATACTGATAAAAAAAGTGTCTCGTGTCGCAAATCCAATGACGCTAGTGACGCTGGTAGTGACTATTCTGTCTGACCAATCAGTGATCTGCAGTGTTTCACGTCACATTTTACTACCGGTACGGTACGCTTGGAACCTCAACAGACCAGGTACCATTTAAAGCAACCTGAAGCGAACTGTAGTGTACCGTACCATGCAGTGGAAAAGCACCACAAGTGAGACGTACCGAACCGAACCGTACCGTACTATGCAGTGGAAAAGCGCCTTTAGTATTTCAAATATACCAGCCTATGATTTCTCTACAGTCACTAATGTTGCCTGATGAAGTTTGTATGGATTCCTCCCGAAGACCAGAGCCCATTTTTTCCATTGCAAATGTGCAAGATTTTCTAAATGTCACCCGAGAGCAAATAGAGGAATGTTTACCCGTAAAAGAACTTCTTAAAGAAGGTAAAAATTGACCTTTACTTAAAAAAAAAAAAAATACAATAGCCTCTGAGAGTAGTTGGAAACATGTCACACTTAAAATCATCTGATTATCATTGCATTAGATCACAAAATATGAAGCATTTCCAAGCAAAACATTTGACAAAATACATTTGTTAGGTTTTAAATAAAACAATAAGTGCACTGTTTAAACACCAGTTGATTGAAAGTCATTGCAAACATTTCTCAGAAAAGTCTAAATGCCACTTGCTTTTATATTCTGTTATCTAATGCAATTACAAGCTGACATTTACACTTATAAGTGTGACTTTTTGGGGCCATTGTATTTCATAAAATGTCAAAAATCATCTTTTTTCTTTTTTTCTTTTTTTAAATAGCCACCTCTGCTTATAAACACACAACCGAGTTAGAAGTCCTGCAAATGGCTGAAAGCACCTTTGCTAACGTGACCTTTAAGGAGCCAAAATCTCCAGGTGGTGTGTATTGACTGTTCATATTTAATCATAATCAAAGAGTGTTTCCTTCTGTAGATTGCTCTTCTAATCTCCAATGACTTCAAAACCTTTCATTCCAGTTGTTTCAAGGTCTTCTGCTGAGATGGAATTAGACCTGCCTCTTTCACCTTGTAATCGTACGCCGTGTCTACCAGACCTGCTTATGTCCAGCAGAAAGCTGTCAGCTGAAGTACTGTCACCAGTTTATAAGCAGTGAGTTTGTTGCATTTGTTATAGCAAGGAGAGAAGGCTTCGAATGTTTGTTGCAGTAAATATGTCTTTACTGCATCATGTAGACATCTACAAAAGGTTTGTTTTCACTTTTCAAGCCAACAAATTTTGCTTCAATAATGGGGGATATTGTGAAGGAACAATGTGCAACGTTGATTTGTTCACAATATGTTGACCATGCATGGGAATTAATAAAGTAAAATGGTCTGTTTTTATTTCATGTTGACCTAAGATCAATGAAAACACTACTCATAATCATTCTCATGATGCAGGAAATAATATGTACTATACTTAATACTATACTTAGACTTAATAATATGTACTGTACTATACTTTTTCCCAGGCATTTCATGTCAGACAGTCTTTGTGAAAATATGGAAAAGGCTGTTTGGATGGCAGAGAAAAATCTCCAATGTGTGTCTCAGTCTTTACTTGCTGGTAATGTGGAAATGTAGATAGTATGAGAAACTTGCACTGGTTTATATCCATAATGTGTGTTTAGTCCTTGAACTCCATTGTGTTGTGTCTACAGAACCACAGGTAAATAAGCCCATGGTCCACATGCAGTCACTTCCAGAGCTTCTTACACCACTGAAGGTGGAGATGGATCCGGTCCCAGAACCTAAAGACAAAATGGGCCAGTTTCATCTCACAGACAGTACAGTGACGTTGCCTGAAAACTTAAAAAATCTCTTCAACTATACTGAGAAAATGTCCACAGAAGAATGCAAGACAGCTGTGAGAGAGTCGCACATAGATGAAATATTCTCACCACTGTCCATTAGGAAAATAGATGGTAAGATCTTATAGTGAAGTATTCTTGTACGTAAAAGATCTATTTTAAATGACTGAAGATTTAAGATCTATTTTTAAATGCAATATTACTCTTTATGTATAATGGTATTATTGTAAATATTACTCAAAGTTCTGTATGTTAATGTTGTGTTTTACAATTGCAGAGTTGCTGGGTGAATGCCCTTCAGATGCTGGTGAGCTTTTTGAGTTTCTCTCATCGTTTTAAACATGAGCTATATGTATATTTTCAGTCATGATCATTTGAAAACATTGCAATTATGGATATTTGAGGCGTGAACAGACCAAATTGGAAAATGGAAAATCTGTTGTGTTCAATATTAGCCTTAAAGAACAACTCCGGCGCAAAATGAACCTTTGGTCTAATAACATATTGGTACCTCTGAGATTTGTTTTCATGATAATCGAATGTAAAGAGTTTAATCTCTAAAAAACTGTTTAGCGTATAATGCTAGTAATGGGGGCATTAGAGTAATGAAATATAAAAATCGCTAGTTAATACCACTAAAGACAGTGGAGGTCAGGCAGGAGCCATCTTTGGAAAACAGTCTCGACTAGTCGAACCATGAATGCGGTGCTAAGTGAGCTGAACTGTATGAAGTTCTGTTTGAACGGCGTTCAAGGTTCGACTGGTCGAGACTGTTTTCCAAAGGTGGCTCCTGTCTGTATACGCGAAGTGGACTGTCTTTATAAAGTATCTTCTTATTAAACGATCTGATTAACGAAAACGGTCAAGATACCAGTGTGTTATTAGACCAAAGGTTCAATTTGCGCCAGAGATGTCTTTTAAATGAACTCTTTCAACAATTATTTTCCTTTAAAACAGCAAATCTAGGATACAGTAAGGGATTTACATTGGAAGCGAAAGGGGCCAATAACTTAAAATACTCATCGTTTTAGTAGTATAGCAACAATAAACAAACAATATGCATGTTAATAGGACTTCAGTGATACAATTCCTAACCCTTTCTATGTAAAGTTTGAATTTTACAATTTTGTTTTCATGACAACACAACTGTGTAAATGACAAAAACGTCACAGCTCAAATAATACATCTCAAGGACCCCAAAAACACCTTTGACCCCAGAGGGTTAAATTGGTAATCAACATTATGCCACAAAAGCTGTTGATTGCACTCAAATGAAATGTTTTACTCTGGTTTCTCAGCACTGCCACCTTCAAGCCATCCCATTGCAGTGTCCCCTTCCCAGAGCAAGCCTCTGCAGTCAGCCGTACCTACACAGGTGGAGAGAGGGAAGACTGTGAAGTTCTTTATAATGGAGCGCATGTCTCACCAAGGAGACATTTCTACAGTGACAACAGCTGGAGGAATAGACTGTAAAGCTGCAGAGAGAGAGAAACACATCTCTAGTCCACCAGAAAAATGGTTTGGGAGTCAGACAAATTCCTCCACATGTCTTTCAGAAAAACAACACCGCTTCTCTAAAGTGGTCGAGATGTCCAAGTCGTCTCCATTGAAGCACTGTGTTAAAGATATTGAAGTGAGATCCGCTATACACAAACTTCCTGAGAAGTCAGAACAGAGAAGAGAAAACATAACCTCTAAATCGTCTCTGTTATCAAACTGTTTGAGAGGCAGAAAGGGAAATAATTCTGTAGTTCAGTCTCACGAAGATGTGAACCCTGTTTTGTCTTTTATCATGGTAAGAACGATGCAAAAACTTCAGCGGAGCAGTCCGACATCTGCAGGTAGAGTGAATCCAGGACTTTCATTAATAGTGTTTAAAGTCAGTATGACACATAAATTGTGACTTTTCTTCCCTATTGTGACGTGTATCAGAGTAAAGTGAATTCTTGAGAAAAAAAGTTGGGTGGGTCTCACGTATACATAATTTATAATATTCCATTAAAAAAATAAGAATAACTTATTTATATTTCATGGTGATTTTAAACAGTTAGTTCACCCAAAAATGAACCTTTGAAAGCGGTCATTTTTATTTTCCCGCAATTAAAACTCTAGTGTCGCTTCACAAAATTTAGGCCCCATTTACACGAAGGGGAAACGCAGATATTTCCCTGCGGTTTGTCCTCTCATTTACACGAAAACCCTGTTTTTATCACAGAAAACGATTATTTCTAAAAACTCCGGCCAGAGTGGAGATTTATGAAAAAGCCGGTTATGTGTTGTCATGTCAACTGGGAGAAACGGGGTTTTAGGTTCTCTCTTGTCGATTCTGAGGATTCTGATTGGCTTGCATGGCTTTATCCTTCTCCCTACACTGCCGCCCATAGGTTTGGCGTAGATATGATGGCGCTCGACGGCGTATTTATTTGGGTGTGTGCACGATGTTATTATTGAAAACGGAGAGGGGGAAAATATTCGGTTTTGTGTAAACGTGGGCTTAGGTTAAACCGCAGGAGTCACATGGATGACTTTAATTATGTCTTTTCTATCATTCTGGACCTTGAATGTGGGAGTTGTGTAGCTCCCGATGGAGGGACACAAAGCTCTCGGATTTCATCAACAATATCTTCGTTTGTGTTCCGAAAATGTCTCATGGGTGTTGAACGTCATGTTAGTTCACCCAAAAATTAAAATTCTGTTATTAATTGTGTTAATAAAAAGTGTTTTGTTTGCAAAAAACTCCAACAAGACTTCTTTCAAAATTACAATTTTTTGGGTTAACTAACCGTTTATAATGTTCATTTTTGGGTGAACTAATGGGATTCAATCATATTTTAATTCAATCATATACAGTATATTTTTGGGTGAACTAAAGGGATTCAATCATGTTTTTTTTTATGCACGTCTTGGAACTGCAAAATGTTTGGAGGTCTTCCCTGACATCTTTTAGTGTTTGTTTAGTGCAAACTGTGAATTGACTTAAAGTGATAAAGTCTAATATTTTTCAGAGGTAACCAAGTGTCAGCATCCTACTGGAAATGCTTTGCTAGATAACAGAATAAATGCAGTGAATCACGCCTCGGATTCAAAAAGGACTGTCATTACGACTGAGAAAAGCTTTCCCTGTGAAGAGAAACAAGAGACCATCAGCAAGATTGTATACGTCCAAGCCACAGGTATCAGCAGATCTGAAGTATTTGAATAGCATTAGATAAACAAATTGTTGTAACTAAGCACAAACTACATGCTCTTTGTATAAATGTTTTTCTTAATCATTTATGTGCTTAGTTGAAACGATTCACTGTATTTCTCTGTTTATTCCTGTAGAGAGTCAGCGAGATGCATATAGGGAACTGCATGTGTTGGCTCTGCCCTCTCTGGGAAAAATGCAGAAGTTGGGCATCTCCGCTTTGAACAACAGAGACTTTGGCACTCTGTCTTCCGAACTCACACGATTCCTCCTAAAGCAGCAAGAGCGAATGCTTCAGACAGAACAGGGTCAGAAGAGACACATTCTCACACATTATAAAAATGTGAGGTCTATGTAATTTAGCTATGTGTGTATACGCACAACCGGCGCTGCGTCATAGAATGACTCTGAATAGGTTCACGCCCACTTTTGGGGGAAAACAAACTAGACTCCCCATAGACTTCAATACAAAATAACGGCAAAAACCAACATCCGTACACAGCCGAGAGACGTAAATAACTTAAGAAATCACTTATATAAAACATGACAAGTAATTATATGTCCACCCTGCCTGCCAAAGAGCCTGAAAGATATATACACAAACTTAATTTGGCCAATTTAAAAACACGTCCCTTTATTCTCCCAGCCTCAAATTGGTGTAACCATAGATATCTATGGGTGTAACAACCCCATCCAGTGGCCAAAGGCGTCTTACCCGGACATTTAATTGTACCTCATCGAGTCACTAGGTAAGCCAGTGAGTGATTTTATTTGTTTTTTTTAAAGTAAAGAACCTTAATGTATATATTATGAATTTATGATGATGATGGCATGTAGTCTGGGCTAGTTGATAATGGGCTTAAAAAATGTATCTTTCAGGCTCTTTGGCAGGCAGGATGGACATATAATTACTTGACATGTTTTATATAAGTGATTTCTTAAGTTATTTACGCCTGTCGGCTGTGTACGGACGTTGGTTTGTCTATGGCGAGTCTAGTTTGTTTCCCCCAAAAGGGGGCGGGGACAAAATTGACAGTTAAGTTCCCGGATGTGCCGGTTGTGCATATTGCGCGAATCGGTGGGCGGGGCTAAACCGGCCGTGTTGAAGTAGGCGTTGATCTTCTTCTGCGGGGGTGGTGTTTTATCCTCTTTGTAGTCATAGTTCCCCACTTTGAAAAACGAATCATTTGCTGAGGCTGGTGTCAATAAAAGATTTTATTGGACTTACAAGGACGTTTTCAGTTCTGAAACTTACAGGATATTCTTATAATATGATGACCTCAGGCTCTTAGATGTCAAAAGCTCAAGGAAAATTTTATTTCTCAGTTCATCACCCCTTTAAATAAGATGGTTTTGTATTTATATGTGGCAGATGCTGACAGTGTGTTTAATGAGATGGCACTGCTACATATTCTGGTAACGCTGAAGGAACACATCCTGTTGAGATGTGACCTCAACGCAGCCACTGGTAAATATTAGAAAATAAACACTCATGTCTCATAGCTATGGTCTGATATTACTGTGATTTCAGTTTCATTTCGATTAATTAATTGAATACACATTTATTTATTTTTATATATGATTTAATTATTCCCTCATGAACCCCCATTTGGGAAACCCTGCTCTATAGAGGAGATGCATGTGAGATTCCTTTGTTTTTTTTCTCTAAGAATCAGCATCAGTGTGGCAGAAACAACTGAGATCTCAGTTGTGATTTGATTGTTACAGTGTAGCTTTTGTATAGCTTTACTCACACGCCTGTAAAATCTGTTTTTGAACAGAGTACCTGGCTCAGGCGAAGGCCTCGTATACTCTGAGCTGTTTGGATGAGCTGTTGAGGAAGTTTGAGGTGTTGCAGTATCTGAGTCAGAAGAGGCAGGAGTCCAACCCTAAAATACTGGAGCTCCAGCAACAAATCAACACATGGATGAACTTCCACGCCAACCACAACACTAGAGTGAGATTTAATACAGAGTTATTTAGAGTTAAGACTCGTGCTTCAGCCCTGAAGTAAACTCGAAACAAACAACTGTATATGTGTATCCAACTTTATCTGCATACATAAAGTACATTTACGTAAAGTAATATATACTAAAATGTAAAATGAATTAACATATTAAAAGGATACTTAAGGATTTAGCATTAAGCTTTGTATTACGGTAGTAGAAAACCTGTAGTATTTTTGAATTCCCATTCTTTCCACCCTCATCTCCCCCTGAGACAAAAGATTTATTTATTTTTTGTCTGGAAAAAATCCTCCGATGACACAAAAATCGTAATTTTGCGTCAAAAAATGGCCAGAGGCTAAAGACTACAGTCAGTAGTAGGGTCTGTCCCGCATGTTATCAACCCACCCATAGAGGGCGATCTCACTCACAGAATGAACACATAGTGTCGGCCATCTTGTTTTGGAAGCTAAGCTAGCAGACTCTTGTTCTGTGGAGAAAGCTGAGTAGTCGGGGTTACCATCCTCTTTTTCCCAGACATGTCCGGCCGTCGATGTCTGGGATTCATCTTTTGCTTTCTGCCGTCACCATTCATTGTTTACATGCACAGCTTTTGTTTCAATCTAACTGAATTCACTCCGATTGGTGGATCTGAATGTAGTGTTTACATGAACGCTAAACAAGTGATCGTTTGATGTGCGTTTTAACATTGCTAAGAAAATTCCCGCTCCTCCGTGAGAGATACGAGACCGGTGCGTCTCACAGGTGTCGCTCATCGGTAATCACGCCACCGGCCTCGCGCCGTTCTCCCGCGGCCCTCACTCGTCCCGCTCGCCACAGGAAACATGATGAACGGCGACTTTAGAACGCAAAAGCCGAATCCCGGACATTTTGGGCGATCTTGAAACACATTTTCGGGCAGACTCATCACGGAGATTCACTAGTAACCTAGACTTGCTGTTTACCTACGGCACTCGGTTACTGGTAGGCGTGGCCTCCTAGGGCAGTGAAGCAAGTGCATTCTGGGAGTTGTTGTCTTTCATCCACATAAGCCAAAAATACTTTTTCTGGCTTTTCTCAGTCTAGATAGCTCCAAATTCAAAAATAATTTCACATTTCTATAAATGACCCATTTTAAATACACATTTATCTTTCCAGAGGTGAAGTATCCCTTTAATATATAGAAAATTAACATCATAATTTACTGTAAAACTGCTTTAAAACGATATGTATTGCAAAAAGTGCTAAACACATAACATTGACTTAACTTGACTAAGCATACTTTTCAAACAAAGCACATTTTACAGATTGTGAATGTTTAATGACTGTTGTTGCATATGAGCAGGTTCTAGTGTTGACAGTGAACAGTGCAAATAAAAAGCTGCTTGCAGCTCTCAACCAGGTATCAGGTGAGTTATTTTCTCAAGAACAAGATTGTTACTATGCAGGGATTGTCCTGCCTGATTCTATATGTGCGTGTTTAGAAAACGATGTGTCTGAAATCGTCCCGGATGAAGGAAAGCTTAAAGTAGTGAGCAGAGAAGTGATGGACAGGTCTTTTTTTGTCCTTATCTCTAATACAGTTAATACATGAGGTGTGGATATAAGGCCTGATTTAATGTGTTATGTCCATCTCCTTTCTCCTCAGACTGTCCTACAGTAGGTGTGTCGTCGTGTGCAGTCAGCACATTGGTCCTGATTTCCCATGGCAGAGTTTCAGCGTGGTTTTTGAGCTTTCCTCTGTGGGCCATTCGCCCTTCGGCAGTGTGTGTTCAGAGAGAAACGTCAACTTTATCTCCTTCTCCACTGCAGTCCCTGAAACCAGTCAGTTTAACAATCCTTCATGCTCACATGATGCTCTAACGTCAGTAATCACAGCCAATAAGAACATATTTGATGTTTAATCTACAATTATGTGGAGCGGGATTCTTTATCAATGAGATCTTAGTGTTAGTATTATAAAACCCAAGTGTTTGGTCAGATGTCTTGTTGCTTGTTATGGCTGGTTAAAAGAGATCATTCCTATATTCATACACTGTTAAACATTCGAATACAATTACAGTAGCAAACTTTGGCTGGTAAAATATTAAAATTATGGATCATTGATTTCTTTATTGTTATGATCCTTACTGTTTCATCTGTAGGAGATATCCCAGAATCAACTGCTAAATCATATCTGGACGCTATTCCGTTTGTGTTGCTCATCACTGATGGTTTACTGAACCGCTTAAAGATGCAGGTCACACTGGAGACGACGTAAGTTACTCAAAGTAGTTTGTGAGTATATATAAGGGGTTGAACGACTTCAGATTTTTTAAAGTCGACATTTATGTGATGTGATGAGAGTCGACGTTGATTAGTCGCTGATGACGTCAGGCTGAGATTCGAACGCGGGTTGCCTTGTGCACAGATATATGCCATATGACAGCACTCCTACATAACAGCTTATTTTGATCAGTTTATTTCTGCTTATTCTAAGTCAGATATAGATAAAGTTGTAGTGCCTTCCAGTAAGTCACTTCGGACACCTCGGGGGTTTCAATAGATTGTTCGTTTTATTCCAGTATAGTATTTGATTCTCTCAATAAATAAACCGACAAGTAAATAGAGTGCCGAAGTGATGACGTCACTTTGTTGGACGACTCGGAAGCTAGCGGCGCATGGGTTCCCTCGGTCGAAAAGCAATGCATTTTCCCCATAGACTTTTGGAAAATCGCAAAAAAATAACAAAGGCTTAACAAAGGCTTGTGACCCTTACACGTTTTGTCTAGCAAGATAATCTTTACAAGTTAATCCAACATTTATACATTTTGAAGCCTATATAAAGATTTTAAAAAACACAATCAGACACTATAAAGTTTAAAAAACCACAAGCAGGTTATAACTGTGTGTTTTATGTCATAGATCAAAATGTGAAAATATTTAGAGGCTTTGTTCACCACAGACCTTATTTCAGGCGATTTAGCAAAAACCCATTCAAAAATCCCATAGGCTTTAGAGCGAGGGAACCATAGTGTTAAAATGCTAACTCACTTCCGCGTTTTGGCCTACAGAGTGACGTCGTAACTTCGGCACTCTATAAATTGAAAACTATATGTCTGCTGGCGTCCATGCATTTCCAACGTCCAATTACAAAAACTGTTCAACACATGGGTTCCTCCTTTGTCTACCTTATGCCACTAATTGGCACAGGTGTGCAGATTTAAAGGGATACTCCACTCTTTTTGGAAATAGGCTCATTTTACAACTCCCCCAGAGTTAAACAGTTGAGTTTCACCGTTTTCAAGTACATCTAGCCGATTTTCTGATTTAGAAGAATATCAGTAACCAGGCAGTTTCTGGTCTCATTGACTTCCATAGTAGGAAAAAAAATATACTATGAAAGTCAATGAGACCAGAAACTGTCTGGTTACTGATATTCTTCTAAATATCAAAAAATCGGCTAAATGGATTCAGAAACGGTAAAACTCAACTGTTTAACTCTGGGGGAGTTGTAAAATGAGCCTATTTCCAAAAAAAGTGGAGTATCCTTTTAACTCCTTCTGTTCCAAGGCCTTCCAAGACCGCAAGGTCATGATTCACCAGCAGGGGTCAATAAATTAACTTCAACATAAATGTCACTGGCTCCTACAAAAGTAGAACAGTAAAGATTACATTTATTAATGATTACATTAGTGTGTGAGACAGCGATTGCATGTGAATTACACCTGGCAGCATGTCTCTACTAATAGTGAAGCTTATTTACTAAGACTTTTTCATTTTCTAAGCTATTTTATTTAAGGGCCCTTTCACACCTACCTTTTTTGGTCCGGACTTTCGGATTTTTCAGTTTGGTCCGAAACAAAATTATAGGCGTGAAACCTCCGGTATGAAACAGATGAAATTTGGTCCGACGAAAAGAGGTAGTCTCTTGGTCCGGATCAAACTGAACAAAACCTTTTTTTCATGGATCCATAGATGCCAATGTAGACCCTTTATAAAGAGTGTATACTGACATACAGAGACTGTTGTTGGCAGATACAATATTTTTCTGCTGGAGAGGAAACACTCTCCATCTGCACTGCAGCTGGGCGGCACCCATTATGATGTCATCACTGTGGATGAGACCACTGCCATCCTCATCCAGGTGATGCTCGATGCAAGACTTGCTCACCAGATCCACCATTCACAATGTGACCCTGGACTGAACATGTAAATCCTGTGTGTGTGTGTGTGTGTTCAGGAGCTGAGTGAGTTGGAGAAGAAGATTGGAGAAGCATCCGAGTGTGTCGTCAAGAGACTCTCAGCCCTATCTCTGCAGTTCAGCCGTTGCTGGCTCATCCTGCACTGCGCCGAGAACCACAGGGCACTGTCAGTTTCAAATACATTTTACATTTGTGTGATCATGTAACCATTCATTATTATCAGGGCTCAACAGTAAGGATTTGTTTCTGAAGTCCCAATTGGGCTGGTAGTTAATTTATGTACTTGTAATGGATTTTCATTGACCCCAGCACAAAAAAAATTATTGCACAAAATTAAAATGTCAACCCTCTGCATATGCGACTAAATCTTCTCTCTTGGCGATAAAATAATGTCTATCATTAGCCATTGGCTATTAAATTCTCAGATTTTACTTGCCAATGTGTGTGTGTGTGTGTGTGTGTTAGGGGTAAGCATAAGTTTAGCATAGATATATTTTCACTCGCTGAACACTGACTTTTTTTGTCACTGATATAATGCTGATATGAAATACAGTTGTTGAATTTAAATTAGCATTTATTTTACACTATATGTGCTCAAAATACAAATATAGATGATATTGATATACTATGAATATTAATGTTGCAAGGTTGTTGATGGATATTGGAATGGAATGACTACCCTAGTGGAAAATAAATTGAAAGTATACATGTACAATAAATACCCTGCTATTGTACTTTAGTATGCTATTGTACTAAAGTATACTTTAGGTACACTTTAACTTGCATTTAAAGACTGATATTATAAAGAGATCATAGTGATATTAAAACACATTTTAGGCTTAATGCAATAAAGAAGTACTCCAAATACAGTTTAATTATAATATTTTTTCAAGTCTCAAGCGATATGTCAGTAAATATGTTAATGAATGTTTAGTATACTTGCATGAAATACATTTTGGTATAGTTTTTTTCACTAGGGTACTTCTGTTAAATGACCAAATCAGCTAATTAACCGGCCTGGTTGAAATATTGGACTGTCACTTTTCTTATTATACAGTAATAATCAGGACTGCACTGTTTGCATATTGAATTGTGGTTGTGTTTTTTTATTCCATCCATAGCCGTCCTGTGAAGCATTATACGTGTTGATTCCTGTTCATAGCCAACAGAAGACAAAACAGCAACCGTGACTGACACTGTTTTATTATGTTGATTCAAAGACTAAACACTATTTTCCTCCAATTTTAGGATTTCCAGTAACATCTATACCAATCTGGTTCTCATCTACTCTGCGTCTGTGTTGTTCGGAAGCAAGTCTGACAAGTTTGATGTCAAGGTATTTTCTTCCTAATTTATTATGGTAATTTTAATAGCAGATAAACAAATTCTGAAGGTTATACCAATGTCTGGTTTGACATTTCCCGTTTTTATGCTATTGAAAAAAAATACGTACTTCCATTCTAAGTTGAGTGTGTATTTGTTGACATGGCATGTGGTGTATGTTTGTTTCAGGTGTTAATGGTGTGTGAGGAAGAAGAGATAGCTAGCTACATCTATCAGATCTCCTTACATACGCTGATGAATTCAGAGAGAGATGGACTGAGCTGGTTGGATAGAGACTGGCTCAGTGCGCGGCCCACAAAGGTGAATGACAGGTCTAAAATGTTCATAGCACATACAAATTGTCCTATTTAGTATTATTTTTCTTTATTTCATCAAAATGATTACTTTTTAGCCACTCATCATCAATAAATCAAAATCATGATGTCCTCAGGCTTTAACTCAGTATTTAATATAGATTAATGTATTTATTAAAGTTAAAGTCAACCTTTGTTCAACCTCGGTTGTGTCTTAAACGTGCTCTATAAATAAACGATTGATTGATTAAAGATAAATAGAAATGGTCCCTTTACATTTGCGTCTATTAACCATGCGAAAAGTTTTTAAAAAGAAAAATTATGCGTTGTTGTATTTTTAAAATGCTTTGTTGTAAACCAACATTTAAATTAGAACCAAGAACACAAAATTAAATATTGAGTTCTTTTCAGATTTTTATTTGACTTTTTGCACCTTTATTACACATTTTAAAAAGGCATAAATTAATATGGATTTTTATTTATTTATAAGTTGTCCTTGATTAAATTATAAATCATGTTTTTTTTCACTGGAGCCATGTCTCTGGAACCATGATAGGTTAAAAAAAAAAACATTTCAGTTCAGTTAAAATATGCATAAGATATTCATAATTAGGGTTGGGTATCGTTTGAATTTGAACGATTCTGATTCCGATTCCGATTTCTTGTTTCGATTCCGGTTCCTAACGATTCTCGATTCTGATTGTTTTAAGAGGCAGGGTCAAAAAAGTTTAGCTAACCTTGCTAACCAATGGTCTTTCTAAAGGAAATACTCCTTTCTGAAGGAAATACTCCTTCTGTCACAAATACTCCTTTTGTCACAAATGTAGCATTTTGCCGAGATTTCGTTATTTTTAGAAAAGTGAAGCCACACTTTGGACCGCCGACGTAAGCTACTCATGTTCGACTCGCGTGGTTATGCCAACACTTCCGGTAGACGCTTCTCCGTAGGTGTTGTTCAGCGGTTTCTTCTTCCGCTCGGCGGACTGTGAAACTAGGAATCGAAATTTTAACTTTTGAACGATTCCGGGAAAAACTAAAAGTTAGTCCCGATTCCAATCGATACTCGATTCTCGATACCCAACCCTATTCATAATATTTCATCTAAGATAACATTTCATTGCTGTATCCCTACTATTTGTCAGCACTTTTAGATGTGTAAAAAAAAGTATATATATATATATATATATATATATATATATATATAAAATAAATAAATATATATATATATATATATATATATATATATATATATATATAAAATATAAGTCATTCTTCATTCTGAATGAGTTCAACAAAATCACTCAGGCTTTGTTTTTTTGTTTTGTGCTTATCTTGCTTATTTTATTTACTGCAACCAAGGTTTTTCAAGTTATTACCCTAATTGTTAAGGAAATTGATATTTTGAGTATCCAATCAGTAGCTAGTAATTAAGTAGCTAGTAACACAGTTAATATTAGTGTGACAAATGCATGCAAAATATCAACTCCACAAGATTTGGAATAGATGGGGCTAAAAGTTTAATATCATTCTGTTTGCTCATTTCACTGATGCATTAATGTTTGTTTATTTTAGGCAGAGGATTGCCTATTGCAGTTTCCCTGCATTAATCCTCTGGTTGCTCAACTGATGTTGAGGAGAGCTCCATCGCTGCAGTGGCTGCTGGGAGCTTCTTACTCTGAGCTGCAGGAAATGTTCCCACAGATCCCTCACAAAGTCATTAAGGTACTACTAGTGAAACTAGAATCCAAGATCAAACTGTCACAGGGCACATTGTTGGTTAATTAGTCTTGTTGACAGTAACTATGTTTCAATCCAAAGTTTTTCAAGAATTTAACTTCTGCAAAATTTGAATATCGAATAAATCATTTGGGAATGAAGTAGTGTTGGGCGATATGCTCCATTTTCATATCGTCCTATCGTCAGCCTGTGAGATCGGCGATACACGATATTATTGTGAGGGGGCGGGGCTAACTTATTTGATTATTAACTTGATTATTTAGCCTACTCATTAATTTGCTTGTTTTATTAGCCTACTTCGTTTTATATACGAGAATCTTTTTTCTATTTTGCTAGCAAAGGTGGAGTGTTTATTAATAGGATCAGGTTATTTCCTGGTATAGTGAAGTAAAAAAAAGAGATCCTAATCCTTTTGTTTGTCAACGGGAAATTTACGGACACATTAGCCTATTCTCATGCCATTACATGCAGCATTTTGGTCTATTTCTGCACGAGATGAAAACACGTTTTAATAATTTCTTGGGTCAGAAAGAGTCGGAGTTTGCGATATGTGCCCCCCTGTGCGTTCTCTGCGCACTTCACATGCGCACTTCAGTAAGCACGAAGTACGCGGGTTAATGTGTTTTAAATGCCGATAGAAACAAGAGCAAGGGCCAAACGTCTAGCTGAGTCGATCGGTTTATAGTTATACTTATGACTTGACTCTGATAAAGGAAACGTTTACATGACCACATGCATTGTCAAGTTTATTCAACATAATCAGGTTAAGAACGTCGTCGCATGTAAACGCGCTCTATCTCTGAAAGTGAAAGTAAAAATGGACTGCTTTCGGCATCTGCATTAACGCCGCGTTCCCTCAGAGACGACGATGATAACGGTAACTATAATACTATTTTAGTGATATTATTATTAATACTATTTAGTAATTGTATTGTTTTTAGTGTTAGTGTCATTAAACGTTTTGTTAATGTGTTACAGAAACAAATACTGACGAACAACGATGCCGTTTTCATCTTGGATCTGTAGGAAATTTAATTTTGCGTCTGTTAAAACGAGCACACTTGATAATTTGTGAATGGATCACCTTGCGATTGAATTTTGATGTGGGATGTTTTTTAGTCTGTTTTAAAAACATTCTCTAAGAGGAGTCCTCATTAGTGCGTGTGTTGTTGCAATTGTTATGAGGTGATGTCGTTGTAAATTTAGGCAAGGCAAATTAATTGTAGTTCCTAATATTCATTTAATAACAATACTAGCTTTATAATAATAATAATAGGCCTAATAATAATAATTTAATACATTATGGTAAAACGAGCCAATTATCGTATTGATATCGTCAAAGGCATCTGCCATCGGCGATATGTCAGACTATCGTCGATACACGATACTATCGTCTATCGGCACAACCCTAGAATGAAGCACCGTTTCCATCCCATGTGTTTAAGAGAACAAAATTGTCACTTCCTAGGAAATTTGTCCAAAATGTCTATAAAAAAATGTAAGTTTCTGTAACTAACCTATTGGTAAGCCCCTCCCCTTGAACACAGATGAACCAATGGAAGTTGAGTATCTCGGACATCTTTAGGTTTCTGCGCCATAGCCGAAGTGATGATGTCTGCGCATGGGTTCCCTCGATCGAAAACCTATGAATTTTCCCCATAGACTTTTGGAAAATCGCAAAAAATAAGAGAAGACTTTGGATCAGGCATTTCAGAATGGCCAAACCAACATTTGAGATTCTCTGTGATGAGATCCACTGGTTAGTCCAGTTTAATTAATCACATCCTCTGTTAAGGCAAAGTCACATGAGTTTTTTGTTTCGCCTAAAAAAAGGAATTTATTTGTAAAATGGGTCCCCATCGTAGATTGTTTAGATAAAAAAATTGCCCGCCTCAAATTGAACGCATGTGTGTTTTATGCTCATTTTTAGAATTTATGCTCATATTGGCGTTTCCATTCAGTGTTTTTTATGCAATATCCCAAAATTCACATCAAAATTTTGGCTTTTTTCACACTCCATGTTTTTCCGCAGCTTTTCAGTGATATTACAGCTGAGTCCAAAGTCAAAAAGGCCACCATGAAAAGTGAGAATACACCCTTCTCACATATAAACAGCCCACCTCACCCTCCTCATCCTCATCTGCCTCTTGGGACTCAGGATCTTGATACGTTACATCTGGAGGATAAGACGCCACGTAGCCAGTTGATTGGTCAGTCTTAGTGTTTAGAGAAGACAAATTTGCTTCAATTTTTACAGACTGCTTTGGTCATTATAACTAATATTTATATATTTATGAAAATAAATTATAAAAATAATGATAAGATTTTAAATATATGTTTAAAATGACTGTCTAAATATATAAAATAAATGTTTACTTAAAGATTTTGTAACCATATTGCATAGCTGTGTTTGGATTTAATTGTTATCCAAACAACGTGCAATGTGCAATTGTTTTATATTTATTAATTATAGTGCACAGTGTTTATTATAAGGAGGTACTCACTACTCACTACCCATGGGTACTTTTAAATTAGCTTTTTTTCAGTACTCTTTCCATCACTGGTCACTATACAGTTTAAATATCCAGTTGAAAATATATATGGTTAGTAGAGGTTGATAGATGTGGCTATGGACAAACACTAATTTTGGACCCTTTGAGTAAAAAAAATGAGTAAATATTTTTTTCAGAGCCATAATTTTAATTGTTTCTTTATCACATTAGCAGATCATAACAGAAGAAGAGGAGAGGAAACATGGAGAAAAAACGAATTATCTCTTCCAGGTTCAACTCACTCTCACTCATTCAACCCCTTTTTGCCAAATCCGTTCAGCCAAGCTTCAGCTACAGCGAGCGCCTGGCAGCTGCAGGGTGAAGGATTCATTCAAAATCCAAATCCAGTGCCAGGCCGAGCTGTTCCCCGAGGGTCTGCCCGTGTTCCCCCGGCTCCTCTGCCCGCTCCTGAAGTGCTGGGGCACAGGAACCCTGCGTGTGCATTCAGCTTTAGGCGGCAGGGTCAGACTCACTGGAGCTCACCTGAGAACGATCCGCCTGGAGAGGAGAGGAAGAGGCAAGGAGGAGAAGACGCCCACAGTGGTACTCACACTCGCATGCATGCAGCAACACACATTCCTATCCTGTATGACTTCCTTTCTTCTGCAGGACGCAAAAAGGATATTTTGAACAACGTTAGATCTATGGAGATAAAATAGTCTCAATAATCTCATTTACATTTAACAAAAAGTGTGTATGTGTTTCCAAACAGCAATTCACAAATTCAGAATCTAAATCATATTGGGAAAATACAAAACATTCAGAAATGTGCAAACATACATGCTTATTTATGAAATTGTGCTTTGAATTTGAGAATCTTAACATGTATGACTTCCGTCCTTCTCTGGAACACAAAAAAATATAATTTTAACAACATTAGATCTATGGAGATAAATTTAAAATTTAATTTAAAACATTTAATTTAAAACAGTAAAAACTCAGTTAATTTAAAACATTATTGACAAATGCATGTTACTTTACATTCACAAAAAAAAATGCAAAGAGCAATTCACAAAAACAACTTAATTTATATTCACAAAATACAAAACATTCAGAAATATGCATACATACTTGCTTATTTATGAAATTGTGCTTTGAATTTGGGAATCTTAACATGCATGATTTCCTTCTGTGGAACACACACACAAAAATATTTTTAACAACATTAGATCTATGGAGATAAAATATTCACTCAGTTAATTTATTCAGAAAACATGATTAACAAATGCTTTACATTCACAATTTTTAAACCAGCAATTTACAAAAACAACCTAATTTATATGCAATAAATATGCATACATAATTTGCGTATTTATGAATTGTGCTTTGCATTTGGGATTGTAAATTTGGTTTTTAAAAGGCATTTGAAAATCGTATTTTGTCGATATGAATTGAGTAATGAGTTTGTGAATTGGTGTTTTGAAATATCTAAACTTTTTTAGTGAATTAGCTTATACATTTGTGAATCATATTTTCTAAATGAATTAATTTAGCTCCATATGGTCGAAAAACAGACATATATATATTTTGTGTTCCACAGAAGATAGAAGGTTAGGTTATACAGTTTTGGAACGACATGATAGTGAAGAAATTATGACAGAACGTCATGTGAAATTTTAAACCGAAATCCACCTCAAAAGAATTGGTGTCCAGAGGACAGGAGAGTTTTGCTCCATTATTTTCTGTCTGTGTGTTTCTTCGCAGTTCCTCCACACAGCAAGAGAGGAAGACTGCTATATGAGCGAGTTCCAGGCAGGAATGACGGACAGACCAGACTGAGATTTTTCTGAGAAAGTTTTGCTTCTTTCTCTTCAGTTTCAGAATATTTCTCATGTTCATATGTATATTTAGTTCTTATGTGGAATATAATGTGAAAATAATACAGTTCGACATATGTACATATATTTTAATATTGTAGATATTGTTCATATTAAAGATTAACCTAGGTGTATTTATAGTATTCTTGGTTCAGAGAACAGTTATCTGAAATTACAATAAAGAAAAAAACATTTGTCATTTATATATTATAAATTAAAATTTTTGTTTAACTAAATTCAAAAAATCAATTCGATTAATAAATTAATTAGAATAGTAAAGTAATAGTAGAAGTAGTTATGCGCATGATCTACTGACAACACGCAAATTACACAGACGCAGCCGGATCATTTAAATAATTTATATAATTTATAATTAAATTAGACTTTTTTTTGTATTTATTTATTTTCCCTGGGATCCCAGAGTCATCAGCCTGGAAAGCCTGGAAATGTCATGAAAATTAAAAAATGTTAAAAAGGCATGGACATTTGTATAGTTTATTATTTGATATAATTTGTATTTTTCTTCTAATGGTAAACGATAAAATAATTTTGAATATATGATTATTAATGACTACTACTAATAATGTAATGTCTGTAACATTTTTAAAATATCTTACAGAAATCGTGAAAAAAATAGCTGGAAAAGTCATTGAAATTTACTAGTCAAAATGTGCGAACCCTGTTTTATAATTGCGGGGTTTAATTTTTTTATTTTTAGATTTATCATATTAAGTTTTTTTATTTTTAGATTTATCATATTAAGTTTTTTATTTTTAGATTTATCATATTAAATGTGCATCAGGCACAGCAGAAGGTTTGATTTCTGATTGCTCAAAAGCATTTAGTGACTTATTTTTATTACTAATTACAAGACGCAGTATTACATGGCTCCTTTATCTACTGACCTTTAACCTACAGTTGAGAGTGAACGTGAGCACACATGCGTCTGTTAGCTTTATAGTATGTACACAGAAGCAGGTGTGAAGAATGCATTCAGATGCAAGAGTATTCAAATGTGGCACTACTTTATTTACAAACAAGCAACTGCGTACATTTCTTGCTACATGTTACTCTTGCTTATTTAGAGGAGGTCACGCATTTGTGTATTGGTCTGGAACTGAATTAATCGTTTGGCATGTGAAGCTGAATTGATTGGCGTTAAAAAAAACATTTTCTAAATTACCGGCCTGGATGTTGATTGGCGACTGTGTTGACAGTGGCCATTAATTTATCTCCCACACCATACACGTTTCCAGCCTCTCGCTATTTTCTTAAATGAGCGTGATAGAAAGATAGTCATTCAATTACAGGACAATCTTCTTATCGCTGACAGTCAGAGCCGAGTAAAGCAGCGCACGTTGAGAGGAGGAGGAAGAGAGGGAGAGTGATGGGGGTCGGGGGGGCTTATCTCAGCGCGCCAGCAGTCTGACTGCAGCCCCTCGCAGGAATGAGCTCGAGAAAACACACTCCCATAGGGCATTTTCCTCTCTCCATCACGCTCCCTTTCACTCTCTCTCTCTGCACCCCCCGTTAGTCTCAGCCTCTGTAAAACACCAAACAGCCTCCATAAATAACTCCTTTCTGAACTGCCACGTCTGCCTACACAAACAAAAGCAAATAAAACCACAGTTTTCGGACACTGGGGGAAGATGTGTGTCCAGTCTAAGGCAGTAAAACACAGCGCTTTAAATAAACACGTCAGTAATGTGACCGTAATCACAGCGCTCTTTCAGATGGAAAAAAGCTGTGAGAACAGGGCATGCTGTTCAAATCTGACCCTTTTTAACCACTCTCTTCATTGCAAGCATTAGGTCAAATCAATTGTCACTCTTACGGCATTGTCAACAATGTACTAAATGCTCAAATTGGAACAGTTGCTACTTTTAATAGGTCCTTTCTGAGGCCGTCTGAACAAACCACAAACACTACAGTAAGTTACTTGCTTTTTTATTTTTATTTTTTTAGCTAAGTTGTTATTTTTTCTCTTTTCCACTCATTTTATTTATATATATGTGTGGCTGATTAACAGTCAATACATGTTAACATTTAAAGGAGTAGTTCACTTTAAAAAAACTTTTGCTGATAATTTACTCACTCCCATGTCATTCAAGATGTCCATGTCTTTCTTTCTTCAGTTAAAAAGAAATTAAGATTTTTCTTCATATAATGGACTTCAATGGGAACCAAACGGTTCAAGGTCCAAAAGACAGTTTCAGTGCAAACTACAAACTGTTCAAAGGGCTTTAAACGATTCCAGACGATGAAGAAGAGTCTTATCAAGCGAAACGAACACGCATTTAAAAAAAAATTTTTTTTATAAAGTTTACGTTTTATAAGCTCAAATGGTGGCCTTGCTCTGTTCTGTGATGCGCGTTCAACTCTCCTGTTTGAACTCGTTTATCAAAATGAACAAATCTTTTTTCGTGTCGTTTGGTTCATTCTACGAACAAAATGAACGAGGTGACTCGGGAAAAGATTCGTTCATTTTGATCGACGAGTTTGAATAGGAGAGTCACGAACGCGCATCACAGAACAGAGCAAGGCGAGCATTTGAGCTTATAAAACGTAAACTTTATTTATTTATTTTTTAAATGAGCGTTTCGTTTGATAAGACTCTTATTCATCGTCTGAAATCGTATAAAGCCCTTTGAACAGTTTGCACTGAAAGTGCCTTTCGACCTTGAACCGTTTGGTTCCCATTGAAGTCCATTAAATGGAGAAAAGTCTTGGAACGTTTTCATAAAAAAACCTTAATTTCTTTTCGACTGAAGAAAGAAAGACGTGGACATCTTGGATGACATGGGGGTGAGTAAATTATCAGCAAAAGTTTTTATAAAAGCGAACTAGTCCTTTATTAAAATGTGTATATTTGAAATTAAATGTGTGTGGTGTTTAGATATTTTAAAAATATAATTTTTAAAGGAAATCATGAGAATTTAGTTCTCAGTCACATTTAAATATGTAAATATCAGCTTTGTTTTAGAATTTCTTGAAGCTAAATAAAAAGACACATTTGATAGTGCATTTGGCTCGCACAGCTCTGATCATTGGTATCTTTATAAGAATTTGATGAGAAATATTTGACATTTGATTACAGACTTCGGGGCGAATCTGAGAGATCACTGGAGTGTTTTCGCAGGAGAAACATCTGTGCGACAGAAGTCCTCATAGCTGCATTGCTGGAGAAACGATTGCGATACGCCTCGACAAACCGGAGCTCAGGTAGGTGTAACGTTTCAGAGTTTCATGCAGGTTTGCGGGTTGTTGAAGTTTTTGGCCGATCTGAAAGGCAGCTCTGCAGGTGCAGGGAGTGTTGAGCGGTCGAGTCTGTATGAATGGAGTCGTGAATTCAACTCCGTTCTAACTGTGTCCGTCCTCTGCCTGACTCCTAATCCCTCCATAATCCCATTATGCAAATCCCCCACAATTCTCAGAGAGACTTTTAACGCAACAATTGCTGCAGCGAGACACCAGCTTTTGATCTAAAGGGAGGTTGAGAGTGCGAGAGAGAGAGCGAGAGGGGTCTTGGGAGACCTCGGCCCCAAAGAATGTGCTGATCCACAAGCTTGCCTCTGTCATAACCTAGTGTAATTTATGTGAAGCCCCAGGACATGCTAAACAAGATTACCATCATTCAGACAAAACCCATATTATTTCTCTGTCAGGGTGAATATGCTGTGGGTTTTTTGTTTTTTGGCAAAGTGTTGTCCAATCAGAGGAAGGTTTTCATTATGATGTCACTTCACTATTGGAAAGAGTCGCTGTAATAGATCTGTTAGCAGGTGGACGTCCAGCACCCCAACAAAAGAGAGAAACACATTTTGTACAACGGCCACGTATTCGTTAGAGCTCATAGGCTATAAGTCTGCTTTGAATAGTTTGTGGTTTCTGTTGTTGCCCGCTGGGGTGAAGTGTTTAAGGTAATAATAATGAATAAACCTAAACTCACATCAATAAAAATGGTATATGCGGGTTCGTTCACGTCATTAAGCGCCATTAGAGAAGTGCCATTAGAAAAGATCTGCATTGTGAAGATTTATAAAGACAGGACAATATTATAACATTGAATAGTAGTACTCTGTGGTTTAAAATATGTTCACGCAAAAACAAAAATATTTGTCAACTATTTAGAAGCATTATTTTTTGGTGAAATACAATCTTTTGAGTGTTAATCCTTGTATTTTTCTAACCTGTTTATATAACCAAGCTCTATAAATGTGACTGGCAGTGTGAAGTATTTTGTAATTTAGTATTTTTTATTTCTGTGAAAATGGACATTTAAGTAGATTAATTATTAGGTTAAATATCTTAAAATAGAATCATATTTATGTAATTTAATACAAAATTAAATTTTTGGCTGTGCAAAGTTTAATTGCGATTAATCGCATCCAAAATAAAAGTTTGTGTTTACATAATACATTTGTGTGTACTGTGTATAATTATTTTGTATAAATACATATACATGCATGTATATATTTAAGAATTATTTGCAAGTAAATACTGAATATATAAAAATACATTTATATATGAATGACACATTTTCTTAAATATATACATGCATGTATATATTTAAGAATTATGCAAGTAAATTTATGCAAGTAAATACTGAATATATAAAAATACATAATCTATTTTATATATAAATTTAAATATTTTATATATGAATAACACATTTTCTTAAATATATACATGCATGCATATGTATTTATATATACAAAATAATTATACACAGCACACACACATATATTATGTAAACACAAACTTTTATTTTGGATGCGATTAATCGCAATTAATCAGCCCTAGTATTTAATATAGTTATGAAACTGCTGTGAATTCAAATTATAAAGTAATATAATTCATATAATTTAAACATTTAACAAAATAAAATTAAAAGAATAGAACAAACACTGCTGTGAGGTGAAGATTAAGTCCAGGATATGATGCATAAGACAAAAGCTTTATATTATTGTACCCTGCTTGGTTTAAACACTAGACGGCATTTTGTTTTACATGTTCAGCTGGATTTCCTTGTATTCAGTCCCCGAATGCTATAGCTGTGAATGGAAACATGATGCATTATGTTAATCAATTTAAACGCATTAATGGCAGATGTAAAAAATCCCCCCCCTCACTCACACCCTGCGACGTCACACAGCAGCGGGACTATAAAAACGAGAGGCACAAGCCAAATCCCACCCCTCCCTCGCATCCTCTCTCTCCTTCACCCTGTTTTCTGTCTTGAGGAGTTTGTTCAAGGGTTCAGTGAGAGTGAGAGGACGGATGTGGGCTTATTACCTGACAGCGTTTTATCTCTCCTAAACACTGGTGCTTTCACCTGCCGTCGGGACTATTTTTGGGATTTTTCATGCCAGAAAATTTGTTCCTGAAGACAGCAGAAAGTGGTAAGATATCATTTGTTTGCAGAATTATATTCATTTTTCCCTTATATATAATATTCAGACAATGGCATGATCATGTGTTTTTTTTTGCAGAAGTACCGCAGTATCATGACAAGGAAGGTTTTCACCAACACACGTGAGCGCTGGCGCCAACATAATGTGAACACAGCCTTCGCAGAGCTGCGGAAACTCATTCCCACGCACCCGCCTGAGAAAAAGCTCAGCAAGAACGAGATCCTGCGGCTGGCCATGCGCTACATCAACTTCCTGGTGACTCTGCTGGAGAGCCAGGGCGGAGAGCCGTCGACTCACTCGCAAGCCGCACTCCTCACGCTGCTCACGGGGAACATGCAGAACCTGCGCACCGACCGCACCTGGACCAGCGACACCGACCCGCCTTCGCCCGGGTCCAGCTGCGACGGCTCAGAAGCGTGGTAGAGCATTCTGTGAGAGGATTCTGTGACTGTGACGTTTTTTTTTAAAGTTCCATCGCCACGGAGATGCAAAGCTGGAGTGGATTTCCGGAACTCGGAATGTTCATGTTCATTATGACATCACAATCACTCATGCTGTTTGGAAATGAATGATCTGTGGAAACCCAGAGACACTTTATTCACCTGTACTTTAAAATTGCTCTCATGCGTAATCAGGTGGAAACCCTGAACAACATAAGCATTGTCAAGAATGCACTTTGGAAGCATTTTTAGTATTTATATAATTTAATCTCCTAAAAACTCAAGAATGTTTTGTTTGAGACTGAAGCCAGTAACGAGCTCAGATTTCGAATGTTAATTTATTTGATTGTATTTAATGTGTTTATTTAATATTTATGCTATTAATGGATTCAGCACATGCAACTGGTTGTACATTAAATTGTAATTTATTAAATGGAAAATGTTATTGTTTAAACTACTCTGCATTCACAAATACAAAATATGTTTTGCCAAAGATTATTTTTGTGCGTTCATTATTAAAAATTGTTGGATGTATTTTTCCCTCATCGTGAATCAAATCAATTGCGTTACTTGAAAATTATTATTTTATTGTATTAATTTATTAGTCGATATGATAGTAAAGGGGCTATGTGTAGGTTTTTACTTATGAAAACTCTATCTTAAAGATTTTTTTTGGACATTTATGAGCAAACACTAATGTAATAGAAAGAATGATACCTTGACTGTCCATCACGGTTGTCTCTATCAGCCTGTAGGCTCAATTGTGTGTGGAGGAGGCACGTCATGCTTGGGCTTACATCCGTACGGCAGACATTAGTAAGCAGCGGCAATCGCTAGCAGTCGTGTTTTAAACGGACTCTGCGGATGGAAAGAAGCGACCAGCCTCCAGCACAATCCAGACGCAATCCAGTTTAAAAAAAAATAGCGCGTTCAAAATAGAGAGTGACCGGCGTCAGGCAAAGACAAGAGTCAACATCGGAGCGGCATTTGATTCTTGGAGGGAGCTCCAGTCAGTGCTGGGTATAAAAACAGACCCTGTGCTGTCAATCAATAACCTTACAGTACTATAACTTTTCTTTCCTCTGTAAACATGAGCCATCTCTGGTTGCTGTGGTCGTGCTAGGCTGACCACCATCAAACAAACCAAATGTGGGACGATTATAAGTTTGTGTGGGACACTAAAACATACCCTGAAACTGTTATATAATGTCTATCTAACTTAATAAAAACATTTGTATTCTGCCTTTCAGCTGATAAAAATTATTTGTTCTTTATAAATAATCTTTATTTTACATGTCATTTAAATTCAACATCACTGAGCCCAAAGGCAGCAGGCATCATGCATCATACTATTTTAGAAACAATTCTGACCAAGTCCAGCTAAAATCCAACAAAGTAAACAATGAACAAATAAAATATAAAACAACATTAAATTAGATAGACAGTCTTATATATTAAGAATATATTAAAAACCAAAACCAAAAACTTTCATATTTTTAGAAAGGATGTGAATTAAAACAACCACAGCAGGCAACAGGTTTAATAACAACAGATAAATTCAGTTTTTTTTTTTCTAAATTAAAATTTTAATTGACCAAATTATCCGTTTGTTTTCTAACAGGGAACACATGGAACGAATCACCGCTCCACATTTTGATTGACAGCCATCACAACCTACTAGTGACCGTATTTACTCCTTTCTTTTCAAGTCAAGTCAAATATATTTATATAGCGCTTTTCACAATACAGATTGTATCAAAGCTGCTTCACAGTATCAATCAAGACAACATCACAGTACCAACCATTCAACCATTGGATAGGATATAAAAGCTGTTGTATTTGATGAAGCACTGTTAAATATAGGTTAAAAACTATGCTGCTAAAATAATAAATAAAATACTTTCTTAATATGATAATTAAAAACCAATAGACTGATGAAAATGCGGGACATTTCCTCAAAATGCGACGTGTGGGACAAGGGGTGAAAATGCTGTGCAGTATAATGCAAAGCGGGACGGGTAGTCACCCTAGGTCGTGCTCATACGAGCGTGCGCATCGAGCACGAGCATGAGACTGGCTGCAGTTTCTCTAACGGCCACTGGTGTCAGTAACGGTTAGAAATTTTAGAACTTAAGCAATGCTCCTTTAAAATAAGTGAAAAGGCTTATTCAAACAAACATTCTTCGAATTTTCGATCAAACATCATCTAGTTTGGTGAAAGCGGTTTCGTCCTGACCAGGTTATGTGAGCATGTATTGGTCTGCTCTGGAGACTCTGATTGGCTTGGATGTTGTGGTCAGATAAATGTTCACTGCAGTGGCAGTTTAAGAGCTGTGTGACCATAGCGATGACCTCTGGAAGTGTCCAAGCCACATGAGAGAGCGGATTGTAGACACAGCTTAACTTTTGGTCTGAGGCCAGAGGTCATCTTGGAGTCAAAATCCACACTCGTCAGTGACCAATCAGGTGGATGTTTGCATTACAATCGAACATCGGTACAGAAAATGGATCTTATTTTAATTAGACGTTTAAAGGAGTGATAAGACGAGGATTCATATACATAGCTGACGCAGAAGACTATTTCAAACGTTTAGTAACTGGCCGAATCTCATAAGACATGAAAAGAACACATTCAAGTCGTATTTCACCACAAAACCAGGAGAAAAACGAAAGAAATTGTGTTTTGCATGAAGAAAATACTCTGGTTTAGGACCATTTTTTAATTTTGCATTGTGATATTTTTATGCCAATTAAACTTAATCTCAATGTCAATAGCAATTTATGTTGTTTTGAATGTAATTTATGCAGATTTTTATCTTATTTGAATTCTTACAGTATAAGAATAAGGTTTTTTAGCATTATATTAATGATTTTTTTGTTTAAGTCGGGTCAAATTAAAAAGGTTTTCCCCATGCAAATTTAATTTTTTTTATTTATTTTTTTGCTTTTTGGGGTGAAATATGATCTGACCCTTACTTAGTGACATTCCGCCTATTAAAAGATGATTTTGGATAAATGCATGTAACACTGCGAATGACCATACCCATCATTTATGTTCAGATCACTTTAGTCAATAGGCCAAATTTGACCTTAAATTTAAAAAAATATTCTGTTAAATCCCACTTAGCCTTGTTGAAATCGTCATCACAGAGGAAGAGTGAGTTTATGGGCAGCTGTTCATACCACTTTACCCGTCTGCAATCAGCAGCTGACTGCCCTCCGTACTAATCACCATTTAACACAACACACAATCACAACCGCAAACACAAAAAAAGGAAACTTGGTGATCCTAAAACCAAACACGGAAAAGCAGAGCTCATCTGGCGAGTGCGAGTTACTAATGCTTATTTAAACTAACCCTTGTGTTTTAGATCTAATGTTCAAACAACACACATCATGCATCTTAACTGAATATCGACAAACAATTTTCTGAATATATACCAAGCATATAAACTATTAATTTATTGCACAGGGAAACAGGCTATATCCATCTTTTCTTTTGCATAAATAAAGTATACTCGCATAAAGCACATATATACTATATAGAAAATCTCAACAGCTTGATTTTTTTTTTTTAAATATTTATATAAAGTCGGATCTATACTGTAATATGTCCAACTTTATCCATGCACATACAGTACAAACATGTAGGGTGATAGGCTATATACTATATAGCAAAACTAAACTGCTTGATTTTTTTATTTTGCCACAAAATGCAACTATATTATCGCCCAGCTTTTTATACAATGTCATATATATAAGTACAAACTTCTCTGCATGCATACAGTATACTCCCGTAGGTTGATATAAATTATAATACAAGCAAAACTGCTTGATTGCTTGTATCGTGACAAAATAAACAGTTTTATCGCCCAGCTAAATGCGGCATGGAGATTTGTAGATAGTATAAAGCATAATGATTTTCTGTGAAGCTGCTTTGAAACGATGCATTTTGTGAAAGGCGCTATATAAATAAACTGGACGATGCATTTCTAAGACTCCTTACATCAATATATTGTGCTGTGCTATGTTTAACCTGATAAATCTGCTATGATTAGACCCGAGCTCTATAACACAGCGACCGATATTTAAAGCGAATTTTAAAACGATGAAAAGAGAGTAATTATTAATAATAAATAATAAACAGAATCCGTTTCAGCATGACTAATACATCCCACGTCTCCTCTTCTTTCCAAGTGTCCTCCTCTCCTTCACTGTTCTACTCCAAGTATGCGGATAATCTTCTATTGAGTGTGCTTTTCCTTATCGGAACCCCACACTCTGCCTAAATCTGTTATCACAATGGAGCAGATCATGGGCTTCTCCCTCCCTCCCCCTCTCACATGCATTCACTCCCGCGCTCCGTTGCCCTCCCCGAAAGAAGGCTGAATGCAGAAGTGTCTCTGGTGCCAACCGATTAGCCCTGATCTCTTTATACGTCTAAACCAATTCACATGCTGCATGCTAAATTTTTCCCACTGTCTGAGCCCCCGTTTCCAAAAAAAAAAAAAAGAAAAGGCTGGAGGGGTCATAAATCCTTATATTTAGCCCCCCACCCCCTTCAAAAAAATAAATAAGGCACGCATGGAAGACAGGGTAGAAAGTGTTATCTGTGTGAGACAGGAGAGCTGGTTAGAGAGCAGGCAGGTGCATTGCTGGCTGGAGAGACACTATTGTTGACCGGACAGCGGCTCTCTTCTAGAGCACTTTTTTTTTTTTTATGGCACACTGACAATCCAATGATCTGTGATCAGATTAGGCAAATCTAAACTTCAAAAAGCATCATGCTGTAACTTACTGAGGAAGACGAGTTTTGGATTAGGGAGAAAGTAAAACCTCTGAAAGCGATTCTGTGGGGAAGGCTCTAAATGTTTGCTATTGTAATATTTTAGACGTTATTGATGAATGTGTTGTCACTTCCCAGTGTAATGTGTTAAGGCTGGAATACACTACACATCTGAAACGATCTGAAACGCAAGTGTCAAAGCGCAAAGCGCAAGTAACTTTGTGGGCGGGTCCCGGCGATGTTGCTATTTTCCCGGCGGGATAAATGCCTCTTGCGCCTGGCGCAAATCTAAAAGGTCTGAAGTAGCTTCATTATTCATAGGTGTGGTTTGGGCGTAATGTGAAATAAACCAATCAGAGCGCCATCCAACATTCCCTTTAAGAACAGGTGCGCATGTTGCATGACGGATTGTTATTATAACGGCGGGTTTACCAGGCCGTTATAATCACAGGAGCGTTCACAGCCGATGAGACCGACGTTCTTGTTAGGGCAGTAAAAGACAGAAGTGACGTTGTATGGGGATGGGAGAAACTCTCGCACATCAGCGTCGGTTAAACATTATATACTTATGTTTCTTGCCACTATTGGGCAAACAGGTCTGATCCTTCAGTACTACAATTAGCCTTAAAGAATGGGTAATAATGTTTTTTCATCTTCATGTAAGCCACAATGTTTTCCCTCATGTGTTAATATTTTTCCTTGTTATAATGTATGATTAGCAAAAATAAAAACTGCTGCATCTGTGTTGATGAGAGAATCAAAGTGTATGCGCGTTATGCACCCGCTACATTATGGCCAAGCATGCGCGCTTAAAATAGCATTATGAACAACGCGCAACGTGCCACTGACTTTAGACCATTTTTTTTCTGGTCAGTGGCGCAATTGTTTTCTGGAAGTGTAAAATAGCACCAGGGGTTGTTTGCGCCGAAACACGCCTCCTTTTTGCGCCGATCCGCCCAGGGAGCGCAAGTTCATTTCCTAGTTTACTGACGTGCGCCTGTGGAGGGAAAAATCCCGCTTTGCGCGCGTGCATAATGACACATGCGTTTGTGTATAAAGTCATTTGCGCCAGGTGCAAGATAGAGCCCTCAATCTGGAAGGGTTGACATTTTACTGTCAAAAAATATTTGTAAAATTTAAATAAAACAGATGAGTGGATTATGTTTTAGAAGAAAATACGGTCAGTCTTTCTACTACAAAATGTCATATTTAATTCAATGTGTTTCTTTGCAATTCTGTGTACTATTTACTAGCAATTTCTGGGTAAAATTGTTTCGAATTGAAAGTACGAAGGTTTTTCTTTTACCATTCTGGGCAGTTAGGGTTGACAGATTTAGCAGAAAATCATGCAGTGATGGGCACATGCTGCAATTTTATTCTAGCTGTTTAATTGCTGTGAATGAATGCAAAGAGCATTAAGACACCGATCTGTTTTGTAAATGATTGCATCCTGGTAGTAGCCTACGCATACTACCCTATCGTGTCGAAGGCATAGCTAGCTAGCAAATTGTAGGCTGTAATAACTAATAGTACTGACAGTAACTCGCAGTTGAGTGGTGAACTGATGCGAATGTGCTCTATTGTTAGGGGAGGGGCCAGCCTCAGTGCGTCATCAAGTAGGGGCGTGTCCACGTGAAAGATTCATAAAAAATAATCATTAATCATTGATCGGTCACATTTGGAAGGAAGGACAGAGAAAGAAAAAGTAGAAACTTTGACATGGACTGCATTTAATATCAGTCCATCTAGGTCAGCTTGTGGTTCTCTAAAATATCATTGTCTTTATACACACTTTAGTTGCGAGTGTGGTTCTGTATGTTTATTTTTTATTTTTTTACACTGGAGACAAGCCAGATACTCTTGGTGAAATCACCAAACTATATGAATGGATCCCTCAGAATGATTTATTGGGTTTGTGTTTAAATTTGTGATTGTGTATTTGTTTTATTTTAAGAAAAATAAAGCAACAATTAGAAGATCTACTATTAAACTGTTTTTTTAACATTTACTGCTAACTAACTGAATAAAACTACATTCAGTTTAATGGCAAAGTATTTTGAATGAACCTCTAGCGCCCCCTACTGAGGTTTGTTACCTTTTGCCAAATAGTTTGTCTCCTGATTCAGGTCACCCAAGAGCATTTATCACTCAATATGAGGCCATATATCATGCTTATCATACATCATGGTTCTCTTATTAATAATCAACATTGACAAAATGGATAGATGACCAGTTTATAAAGTATAAAGAGACATGTTATCGTATTTGTGTTCATCTCCGCAGGTATAAAGAGAATGCAATGCATCTGTCCAGGATTCATCATGACCGTCCAATGAGGCTTTTGTATGAGGCGGTGTTCTGGATTGAGTTCGTCATGCGCAATAAAGGTGCTAAACACAGAAGCACACAACCTCACCTGGTACCAGTACCACTTTTCACTATCCTGACTGTAGTCCTCTACGTCTTCTTTAAATTGAGCAAATTATTCATAATGTGTTGTTGTTTTAGATCAAAGCAGAAAAAACAAAAACAAAAAAAACAACAACGAGTGATTGATTTGGACTAGAAATATGCATCTTGTTGATTATTTTTTTGCTTTACACTCTCAGAAAAAAAGGTACAAAAGCTGTCACTGGGGCTGTACCTTTTCAAAAGGTAAACTTTTGTCCATTTTAGGTGCTAATATGCACATTTTATGTGATGATATGTACATTTTAGGTGCTAATATGTACATTTTAAGTGTTAATATGTACATTTTAGGTGCTAATATGTACATTTTAGGTGCTATTATGTACATTTTAAGTGTTAATATGTACATTTTAGGTGTTAATATGTACATTTTAGGTGCTAATATGTACATGTTAGGTGCTAATATGTCCATTTCATGAGCTAATATGTCCATTTTAGTTGTTAATATGTACATATTAGGTGCTAATATGTCCATTTCATGAGCTAATATGTCCATTTTAGTTGTTAATATGTACATTTTATGTGATATGTACATTTTAGGTGCTAATATGTACATTTTAGGTGCTATTATGTACATTTTAAGTGTTAATATGTACATTTTAAGTGTTAATATGTACATTTTAGGTGCTAATATGTACATTTTAAGTGTTAATATGTACATTTTAGGTGCTAATATGTCCATTTCATGAGCTAATATGTCCATTTTAGGTGGTAATATGTCAATTTTAGGTGTTAATACGTACATTTTAGGTGATAATATGTACATTTTAGGTGCTAATATGTACATTTTAGGTGCTGATACGTCCATTTTACGAGCTAATATGTTTGTTTTAGGTGGTAATATGTACATTTTAGGGGGTAATATGTCAATTTTAGGTTTTAAGATGTACAATTTAGGTGATAATAAGTACATTTCAGGTGCTAATATGTACATTTTAGGTGCTAATATGTACCACTAAGGTACCAATATGTAGCCTTTGGATACAAAAGTGTACCTTTTGAAAAGGTACAGCCCCAGTGACAGCTTTTGTACCTTTTTTCTGAGAGTGTAGTGTGCCTGTGAGAAATGTTCATGTTTCCAATTAATTGTAATTATCCAGATACTTAATTTCAAAGAGGAAAAAGTGAAACCAGGACATTTTAACCATATTGCATAAGTGTGTACCTTTAAATGAATACCTTAGCACTTTACATGACTCATTTATTGGTTAAAGTTTGTATATTTTGGTAAATAATGATACCTGGCAGAATATTGTTGAAGTGCACTAAGTGATCACAGACTTAGATGCTGGTAATCATGAGACTGACAATCTGTTCTTAATCTACTTGCTGTGTTCAGCCCTAGAGAATGTTGAAATATTTTAGTTTGCCCTACTAGAGGGCCAGAGGCAGTAAATGGATCAATCTGAATATTATAACAAGGGGTTAGCCCCCTTTAGGAAAAGAAAAAGGGGGGAAAAAAGAGGAAGGAATAAGTATATATGGAAAAACCTCACAAATACCAAGGCAGGCAAGACAGGCGAGAAGTGGTTTCAACGGGACAGCATCTCTGTCCCAATTTGAGACACTCTCGCACTGTACTCCCTATTTTAATGCACCTTAGACATTGCACATAACACACACACAAAAAAAAAAAAAAAGGAAAAGATAGGGACTGATGAGATGTGGGGGAAGGTTATCTTATATTATATTATCTTATATTATATACCATGATATATTATATTATCTTATTATATCATATTTTATTTTATACAGGATTGACAATGGCAATTGTTACATAGGAAGAAGGATGGAAATAAAAATCTACCAACACAATATGGGCAGTATGATGGTAGTGGGGAGTGGGATGGTGATTGTAATGACAATGGTAATAAATAATAAATGGTTACTTTGTTTACGCATACACACACATACCCACACTCACACCCGCTCACATACACACTTATATCAAACACTTAAATCACTTGTCACTGCTGGAATTATGGATTTACAAGATTGCTCACTACTGCACTATGTATGTATGTATGACTGTAAAAAAAAAAATGTTTTGAAAATATAAAAAAACAAAACAAAAAAAACAAGGGATTAGTCCGCTCAAACTTTCAAGATAGTCTTGAAAGTGAACTAACCCTTTAAATGTCAAAAGCTCAAGGAAATTTTGATTTCTCAGTTCATGACCCCTTTAAAGCTATGTGTCTGAATCTGCTTCACCTTATACTTTGGCCTCTACCTTTTACCCTGTTGATTTATGAGCATGTTGATTTGATGCATGACTTGTTAAAATCAATATACTATGTTAATAATTATACCAAGCAGTCCAGCACATGAGGCAAGAGACTAAAGATCTCACAAACTTATCACTGGCAATCATGAGACTCATAGTCTGTTTTCTTTCTCTGCTCACTGTATTTGGAACTGGAAAGTGTGGGAATATTTTAGTTTGGTATACTGAGGGCAGTCACTGGATCAATCTGAAGATTGTGTTGGAAAAATTGATTGACAGGGGGCACGATGTCACAGTGCTGGTGCCGGATGCCTCTCTCTACATGAAAGCTGAAGAATCGGATCGCTTCTCCTACCAGCCCTTTAACGTGTCCATGGATGCACAGGAGATGCGAAACTTCGTTGACGAATTCCTGCATTTCTCAGTGTATGAGATGGATGAGTTAAACTTGCTGCAGATTCAAATGAAATTTTTCCACTTTGCGTCCAAACATCAGGCTATGTCTCTGGCACACTGTGACGGCATTTTGAAGTTGATGGACAAATTGCGGAAGGGAAAGTTTGATGTTGTTTTGTCAGATCCGATCTACCCGTGCAGTGACATTGTGGCTGAAAAGCTGGACATTCCCTTGGTTTACACTTTCCGATTCTCCCTGGCTCATGTTGCAGAGCGCCTGTGTGGTCAGATACCAGCTCCACCATCATTTGTTCCTGGAGCCATGAGTAAACTCACAGACAAGATGAGCTTTACCGAGCGAATCCTCAATATGCTGTTCTACCTTTCTCAAGATGCTTTTGCCATTGTTGCTTGGAAACAATTTGACAACTATTACACTGAATATTTAGGTGAGCTAAAGAAAGGTATTTTCAAGGGTAATCAACATGTGACATGTTGGCGATGTTGCAAATTATGTTGATAGAGCTTAACTTGTATTGAACTTCTTCAAACTCTCTGAAAGAGATATTTACTTTTATTATATTTTATACTGTTACTGTACTTTTATATTTACATTTATGCATTTGGCAGATGCTTTTACGGAGGCGTATTGCATTCACTTGAAGAAAAAAAATCGTAGAGTTAATTATCTCAGAATTTAAGTTAATTATCTCAGAATTACGAGATAATTTTTCATGGAAAAATGTTTTTGCTGTGTTTTTCTGAATTAACGAGTTAATTATCTCAGAATTACGAGATAATTTTTCATGGAAAAATGTTTTTGCTGTGTTTTTCTGAATTAACGAGTTAATTATCTCAGAATTACGAGATAATTTTTCATGGAAAAATGTTTTTGCTTTAAAAAATGTTTTGAATTAACGAGTAAATTTTTTATGAGAAAAAAAAATTGCTCTGTTTTTCTGAATTAACGAGTTAATTTCCATGAGAATTTTTTTTCGCTCTGTTTTTCTGAATTAATGAGTTAATTTTTCATGAGAATTATTTTTTGCTGTTTTTCTGAATTAATGAGTTAATTTCTCATGAGAAAAAAGTTTTTGCTCTGTTTTTCTGAATTAATGAGTTAATTTTTCATGAGAAAAAAAATTTTGCTCTGTTTTCTGAATTAACGAGTTAATTTTTCATGAGAAAAATTTTTTTGCTCTGTTTTTCTGAATTAACGAGTTAATTTTTCATGAGAAAAAAGTTTTTGCTCTGTTTTCTGAATTAATGAGTTAATTTTTCATGAGAAAAAAGTTTTTGCTCTGTTTTCTGAATTAACGAGTTAATTTTTCATGAGAAAAAAGTTTTTGCTCTGTTTTTCTAAATTAACAAGTTAATTTTTCATGGAATTTTTTTTTTGCTCTGTTTTTCTAAATTAACTCGTTAATTCAGAAAAACAGAGCAAAAACTTTTTTTCATGAAAAATTATCTCGTAATTCTGAGATAATTAACTTGTTAATTCAGCAAAACAGAGTAGATTTTTTTCTTCTTCAAGTGAATGCAATACGCCTCCATATTGGCGTTACACTGTATTACTACTGAACAACAAGAAGGTGACTTATTAGATATAATTATCAGTCCACAACCATACATTTGCCATCAACACATCTTGCATGTAAGGAATGTAAGGGACACATTTCCATTTAGTCATGCTGATAGTCACCAATTGAAGGGTTTAGGACTTCTTGTGCCATCCACAAATCAGTTTTGTCATGATGTCATACTTTAATTTTTCTGCGGCAAGATGTGTTAAGCATGTCTTAAATACACAGTGTCTAAAAACGTTTGTGTAAAGCTATTAAGCACTCCTTATTTCAGGACGGCCCACTTCCTATTGTGAGATGATGGGTAAAGCTGATATCTGGTTGATCAGAACCTACTGGGATTTTGAGTTTCCACGGCCATTCCTGCCCAACTTCAAATACATCGGAGGGCTTCACTGCACCCCTGCCAAGCCTTTACCCAAGGTGCATCTGTCTTTTTAAAAACACTACCTCATTTGCTGTTAAGAAGATAGGAGATCTGAATTTCTTAATTTCTTAGGGATACTCCACTTTTTTTGGAAATAGGCTAATTTAACCACTCCTCCAGAGTTAAACAGTTGAGTTTTACCGTTTTACCGTTTTCGAATCCATTCAGCCGATTTTCTGATATTTAGAAGAATATCAGTAACTAGACGGTTTCTGGTCTCATTGACTTCCATAGTAGGAAAAAATATACTATGGAAGTCAATGAGACCAGAAACTGTCTGGTTACTAATATTTTTCTAAATATCAGAAAATCTGCTGAATGATTTCGAAAACGGTAAAACTCAACTGTTTAACTCTGGGGTAGTGGTAAAATTAGCCTATTTCCAAAAAAAGTGGAGTATCCCTTTAAAACAAACAAGGTCCACATGATTTGAATCATAAGTCCAAGAGGAGTCATTTGTTTACATTGTGTTGTTGTTTGCATGAAATTTGTGAGGAAAAACAATTGCGAAAAACTGCGGTGAATTGTACTTGTAGCAACATTTAAGATTGTAGAAATATATGTAAAAAATCACTTTCTCACAACACAAGTTAATGATGTTTTTTTGTGTGTGTAGGACATGGAGGAGTTTGTACAGAGCTCAGGGGATGATGGGATTGTGGTCTTCACTCTGGGATCTTTGATAGACAAAATTCCCAAAGAGATGAGCAACAGGATCGCCTCTGCACTGGCTCAGATCCCACAGAAGGTAACTGACACCCTTAACAGCCAAATATCAGGAAAGTAGTTTCATTTTTAACAATTCAATCAATGTGAACATCCACATTTACTCGGGTATAGTTTCTGTCATCATCACTGATCAGTTGAATGTGTGTTGCAGGTCTTATGGCGATACGGTGGAGAGAAGCCAGATGCCCTTGGTGAAAACACCAGAACCTATAAGTGGATCCC